TTTAAAATCATTGTTTCTTCCTGATAGATTGCCACATTTATCATTACAATATATTCTTCCTTCTTTATTGATTTTTTTTGTATTACAATGTCTATTTAATGTGGTATTCTTATATCCACTCTAGCTTTCTAATGGTTACAGTATGCAAATAAATAAATTTTTTCAAAAGAATTTGATTATTGAAATATTTTTATGATGGCTGCTCTAAAATCTGTGTCAATAATTTGAATATTTGATTAACTTTGTGTTAATTGCAGTTGATTATTTTTCTCATTGGGTTTTAATTTTCTTATTTCTTAGCATGATAGTATGAGAGAAATGTTGTGTATTAAAGGCATCTTGGTTCTACTTAAATCTTTTTTTTATTTTTAAAGCAGGCAGCCACCATGCTTAAATTTAACACATGGTTCTTGTGAGCTATGATTCATAATTTTCGGAGTTGTTGCAGTGTTCTTTTGTTCTGTGTGGTTTATCCTGACCGCTAGTTGTCCCACTGGTCCCTGCCATTGCTGTCTGAAAGAACAGAAAGAATTTCACCAGCCCATGTCCTCTATGTCTTTTGATGGAGTAGTGGGATAGTGAGATTTCCCACCTGTCTCCCTCACTGCCAGGATGTCTCTTGGATGGGATAAGAGAGTCTTACATACAAAAAGATAGAGACTCCCTGAATTTGGACATAACTGCCTCTAAATAACAGATAAAATAAAGAAGAAATCACATGGGGCATTGAAAAATATTTTAGTAATTAATGAAGAAATGCAACTTAACAAATGTTGACTTATCAATAAAGAATTAGAGGTAAATTTATATCTTTAGTTATGTTAGAAAAAAGAGGACATTTTAAAAATCAATGCTCTAAACTTTCTTAAAAATCTATAAAGGAAAAGAAATTTAAATATAAAATAAAAAGAACGAAGGAGAAATAAAGACATGAGTGGAATCAGTTCAACAGAAAAAGAATAAACTATAGGAATATCAATAATACTCGAAGAAGGTACTTTGAACAGATTAAACTAAAAAAATCTAGAAAAATGGATAAAGAATTTTGAAGAGAGAATACAAATTATCAATCTGAGAAATAAAAGAAGCAGCACCTTTTAGATCCTATTGGCTCCAAAAATAAGTGGATATTATGAAGAATATTTTGCCTATAAATTCCACAACATAAATTAAATGGAAATTTTCTTTTAAATACACAAATTACCAACACTGATTCAAATAAATCAGAATAGCACTATAACTGATAAAGAAAATGAATTTATAATTAAAATTACAAATGCAAAAAGAACAATATGGACTTAGAGGTCTTCAGTTGTAAATTCTATTAAATTTTCATACACCATACTTATGCGTAATGGAAGGAAATGGCAGTAGGCTAGGAATTTAACCCCAATATTTTTCTCCAAAGCCATAACTGACAATAGATATATTATACTTCTGCATATTTTATTAATGTACTAAAAACTGAAACTAATTTTATGAAGAATGCATATATATATATATATCAAGTAAACATAGAAACACACTAGTAATAATATACAATTTTAATATTCACTCTCACAAAAAAACAAATCAAAAAGAAAAAATAAGTAAAAAGAAAATTTTAAAATTTAATTAATTAGTTTAATTAGTTTTCAAGGATGTATACTCACCTCTATAGTTAGTAGATAACAAACCTTCTTCTCAAGCTTTCATAGAAAGTACACAAAACTTGATCATATATTAGGTCAGAAAAATTATTGGTAGTGTTTAAATTGGTAGTGTTTAAATACAGCTGAACACATTTTCTGTTCTGCTTTAAAACTACAAATTGCTAACAAAAATCAAAAGACTGAGAATCCTGTTCACCTGGAGAGTAAATCTTTGATTAAACAAGTCTCAGCTGAAAGAGAAAACACAAGATGAGATTGTAGAATTTCAAATAAATAATGATAATGATAATAGTACTTAACAGAATCTGCAAGAAAAGTTGAAGCAGTAGAGAAAAATTCATAGCACTGAACACTTCTGTCAGTGAAAATGAAAGAAATAACATAAATAAGTTAGTACCCCAGGTTAAAAAAACATTCATAAACAGCAGTGAAGTGGAAACCAAAGAAACGGCAAGGAAGGAAGTAATAAATAGACAAGCATAAATTACTAAAGTAGAAGCTATTAAAAGCAACAGACTTTTAAAATGATTCAAAATGCTACTATTTCCGAAGTTTAACATTTATAAGTCACTTGCTAATTTAATCAATTTGACCATAAACAAAGAAAAAGAAGCATACACAAAATAAGAAATAATAAAAGGAAAAAAATATGGAAGCAAAATGTTTTAAAATTTATATGAATCAAATTTGCAGATCTTTAAGGTAATACATTTGGAAACCTAGATGCAGTGGATAATTTCATAAAGGAATACAGATTACCAAACTTGACACCATTACATTTAGAAAATATAAACAGATTGA